AAACAAAGAAGAAGGATCAGTCGTTAGAAAATATGGCCTTGGTGATAGAAATGATGTTGAAAATTGCATGATAGAATTTTTGCAAAACAAATGACTTACTCACTGCAAACATCTTTTAAAACAACATAAAAGACATGAACTTCACTAGATGGAATACACAGGAATCAAACTGACTACATCTGTGGGAAGACAATGGAAAAATTCCATATCATCAGCCAAAACAAAGTCGGGGCAGACTGTGGAACAATCAATTGCCTATATGCAAATTCAGGCTGCAGCTGAAGAAAATTAAAAGAAGTCCACGAGAGCCAAATTATGACCTTGAACATATCATACCTGACTAAGGTACACCTGATCCAAGCCATGGTATTTTCAATAATACCATATGCATGCGAAAGTTGGACAGTGAATAAGGAAGACCATAGAAGAATTGATGCATTTGAGTTACGGTGTTGGAGGAGAATATAGAAAGTACCATGGACTGCCAAAAGAGCAAACGAATTTATGTTGGAAGAAGTATAGCCAGAGTGTTCCTTGGAAGCCAGGATGACCAGACTTCATCTCTCATACTTTGGACATATTATCATGAGGGACCAGTCACTGGAGAAGGATACCATGTTTAGTAAAGTGGAGGGTCAGAGAGAAAGAGGAAGACCCCCAGCGAGATGGACTGGCACAGTGGCAGCATCAATGGGCTCAAATTTAGTAACACTTGTGAGGCTGGCCCAGAACTGGTCAGTGTTTCATTTTGTTGTGCAGGGGGTTGCTATGAGTCGATATCAAATAGATGGCACCTAACAATAATGAATGATATAGAAAACATCAAAAGAAGATGGAAGCAACCTAGATCCAGAGGGCATGGAGGAAGGTAGAGTCTCCAGTGAGTGGTGTCCAGCCTGTCCAGGAAGGGCTGATGAAACAAAATATAGCTGGGTCTCTTGTGATGCAATGGTGAATAATTGTTATCAGGACTGATTGTGAGGGTTGGAAATCTAAAGATGGACATTTTGTAGCAAAGAGGGGAGTGATTAACTTATAAGTCTAGGAGCGGAGGACCCTGGGACCATCAATAGAGAAGAGCCAAGAGCAGAATCCTACCCAGAGAGGCAGAGAGGCCTGGGATGGAGGCAGAGAAAACAACGTCAAGAGATGGTGGGGCTGGGGGCTTGGGATCAGGAGATGGAAAGGGGCTGAGGACTGTGGTGGGTGGGGGTGCAGGCTTACAGGGTATACCCCTTGGTTGGGTGAAGATGCATGGACAGGGTGATAACTATGTCAATGAAATGATGGATAATGGAATGAATGTAAAGCTGATGTTCTCCCATGTAGGCTATCACACAATTCACAATAAAACATTAAAAAAAAAAAAAGTTAAGTAATAACACAAAAAACAAACAAAAAAAAGAAGATGGAAGCAATACACAGAATCACTGCACCAAAAAGAATTGGTCAATGTTCAACCCTTTCAAAGGTAGAATACGATAAAGAGCCAATGATACTGAAGGAAAGAGTCCATGGTGCATTAACGGTACTGGAAAAGAACAAGGCACTGGGAATTGATGGAATACAAATTGAAATCTTTCAACAAAGTGATGTGGTACTGGAGGCACTCACTCATCTATGCCAAGAAACTGGAAGAGATCTGTATTTGTGCCCATTCCAAAGAGAGGTGACCCAACGGAATGTAGAAATCATCAGACAATATCATTAATATCGCATGCAAGTAAAATATTGCTAAAGATAACACAAAAATGGCTGCAATCACACATTGACAGAGAACTTCCAGAGATTCACACTGGATTCAGAAAAGGACATAGAATGAGGGTATCATTGCTGACATCAGATGATTTTTGGCTGAGAGCAGAGAATACCAGAAAGATGTTTACCTATGCTTTATTGACTGCGCAAAGGATTTTGATTGTGTGGATCATGACAAGCTATGGAAAACATTGCAAAGTATGAGTACTCTAGAACAGTTAACTGTGCTCATGAGGAACCTGTACTTCGATCAAGAGGCAGTTGTTTGAACAAACAAGGGAACACCAAATGATTTAAAATAAAAAAAAGGTGTGCACCAGGGTTGTATTCTTTTACCATATTTATTTAATCTGTATGCTGAACAAATAGTCCAAGAAGCTGGATTATATGAGGAAAAAATGTGGCATCATCTTTAGAGGAAGACTCATTAACAACCTGTGATATGCAGATGATACAATTTTGTCTACTGAAAGCGAAGAGGACTTAAAATACTTATTGATGACGATCAAAGACCAGAGTCTTAAATATGGATTGCATCTTAATGTAAGGAAAATAAAAATCCTCACCACTGGACCAATAAACAACATTCATCTAAATGGAGAAAACACTGAAGTTGTCAAAGACTTCACTTTGCTCGGATCAGCCATCAATACTCATAGAAGAAGTAAAGAAACAGAAGGACATACTGCATTAGGCAAATCTGCTGCATTATAACCCTTTTAAAGTGTTAAAGAACAAAGATGTCAGTTTGAGGACTAAGGTGCGTCTGACTCAAGCCATGGTATTTTCAATAATCTCATATGCATGTGAAAGCTGGACAGTGAATAAGGAAGACTGTAGAAGAACTGATGCATTTGAGTTATGGTGCCTGCGGAGAATATGAAAAGTATCATGGGCAAACATATCTGTGTTGGAAGAAATACAGCCAGAGTGCTCCTTAGAAGCCAGGATGGCCAGAGTTCATCTCTCAATAATTTGGACATATTATCAGGAGGGACCAGTCCCTGGAGAAGGATATCATGTTTGGTGAAGTGGAGAGTTGGAGAAAAAGAGAAAGAGCTCCAGCGAGATGGATTGGTACAGTGGCGGCAGCAATGGGCTCAGGATTAACAATGATTGTGCGGTTGATGTGGGACTGGGTAGTGTTTTGTTCTCTGAGTCGGTGCCAACTTGATGGTACCTAACAACAATGACAACAAAGGAAAAATGAAATAAGATTTTTAAAATAAAAATCAGCCCATCATTTCCAGTCAGTATCGAATTTTATGCCTTTAAAAATAGTAGTTAATGCGCGTGTCTGAGGGGTTTCAAAGAATTCTTGGAAAATTTCTAGTATCTTTTAATTCCATTTGTCCATGAACATTTAGAAGCTCCCACGTATATATCTGCTAAATGTCCATGGTATTTTTAAAAGTTCAAATACTGATGCATGGTATGACTTCATGGACTTGTTAAGAAAACGTAAAATTACTAAAAATCTTTGTATGGAAATAACACATATTCCTTTGGTGTAAAGGGAAGGGTGGAATAGGATGAGTGAGGAGAGATTATTAAAATTTCTTTATATAAAATCACATTGATTATGTTATAAAGAAGTTACTGTTATAAATACAAAAAAAATAGCATGAAGTATCAAAAAGTGTGGTGACTTTGACTCTTTTCCTACCTTACAAGACTGTATCTTTTCCTGGTCACCTCAGAGTTTGACTAGCGTGGAAATTTACATGTGTTTAATGTACACACGAGGTAGTCTGGGTGGCGCAGATAGTTAGTGCCTGACTTACATAACAGAAAGTTTGGCAGTTCAAATGCCCTAGAGTTGCCTTGGAAGACAGACCTGGTGATCTGCTTCCAAAAAGACATAGTTTAGAAAACACTAAGGACTAGTTCTGCTTACTCTACGTGGTTGGTGTTTTTAAGTAGGTTCTGACTCATAGGGTTTCCAAAGAAGCTCTGGTAGCATAGTGGTTACGAATCGGGTTGTGAACCTTAAGGTCAGCAGTTCGAAACCACCAGCTGCTCCGCGGGAGAAAGATGAGGCATTCTGCTCCCGTAAAGACTTACAGCCTTGGAAACCCTGTACCAGGGTCGCTATGAGTCGGAACCGACTCCACGGCACATAACAACAACAATAGGGTTTCCAGGAATGACTGGTAGTTTTGAGGTGAGCAGTCTAGTGTTTATCCTACAGAACCACACCAGGATCGCCATAAGTTGGAACTGACTCAACAGAAACTCACAATAACCAAGTGTGTGTGTGTGTGTGTTAGATTTGTAGAGTTATAAGGAATCTGGCTATCACTTCCGTTATTTCCTGCAGGCCTCTGCTCAGACTCTCTTTGACCACTGTTATCAAAGTCCACTAACTGCTGTCATGCCGTTAGTCCTTAGCCCCCACCCCCGCATGCTTTCTTTCTTCCTTTTTTCTATCTGTATTCATTTATTTTCATCCTAAAATTGATCGATTTTGTTGCTATTGAGAATATACACAGCAAAACAAGTTTCCGATTCAGCAGCTTCTCCACATACAATTTAGAGACATCGACCACATTCTTAAAATTGTGCCGCCGCTCTCACCTCCATTTCTGAGTTATTCCTCTTTTATAACCAAAAACTCATTGCCCACTAAGGTTCACCCAACTTTATTCTTCTCAAGCATAAGTGTCAGCCTCTGACATACTATCAACTTCACCTATTTATTTTTTGGTGGTCTGCCTCCTATTACTGGATTATGAACATCAGGAGGGCAGAAGGGTTGTTTTGTCCACTGATGTATTCCCAGCCCACAGACAGTACCTGGTTCATACTAGGGGCTCGTTTATATTCGTGGAACTGAATAAACCCATGAAAGACTGCCAGTGAAACCTGATCATGGTGGTACAGATGAAGAAATAAACAGACCTCATACTCTGGGGCACAGATAAATATCTATGTCCATCCAGGTGCTAAAGGAACACGGTAAGGAGGATACTTAATTACATAACTACGGCCTGCAATCTTCAACATGGCTCCAAAATTTCCTTAGCTTGTTAGTGTTTGTATTTAAAAGTTACTTGATGGAAAATTGGTTGAGAAGTAAACATTTTGTGGTTTTGTGAAAGAAAGGCAGCAAAGCCCTGCAGGCTTCTGGAAGGTACCAGGAAATGTCCTCTACCCATGTCCGTTCCTACAGCTCACTGCTGGACCCATCATCCAGGTAATGCCAACTTAAATTTAAATATAAACAGACAGAGCAGACTTACCAATGAGGAGACAACTGAAGTTGAGGTGTGAGTGGTCCAGCGAGATGAGAGGATCCGTGGTTTTGCCTACCAGCAGGAAAGGGATTTTGATGTTATGTTCCGGGATTAAGAAAGTCCAGAATGATTCTGTGATGTCTAGATGCAAAGGCGTGAACTGGAATACAACCTAAAAAGACAATTAGGAAGAGACTGGTAAGAGGCCCTTTTAGTTTGCTTACTCCATGTGCTCTTAGAGCTTTGTCAGGGGCAAGATGGGAGACGTGAGCAGTGAAGCCCTGCCTTCTATATTCAGTGCCTGTACCAGTCTGTAGGTGAGGCTGTATCAACATGGCAATGTCTGTTTGTCCTGCCCACATGTCCTTTTATTATTATTATTAAAGTTTTTATTGTGAATTGAGTGATAGTTTACATGGGAGAACATCAGCTTTACATTCATCCAATCGTATTTCGTTCCATGCATCATCATTCAACAGCATTTGCATCCAATCCCTGTGTTTTTTTTTTTTTTTTAAATGTACACTGAAGCACTCAGGAATATATAACCATTCAAACAACCAAAAGGTACACCCTGCAAGCCTGCCCCCCGGCCATCAGCACACAGCCCCTCTCCCTCCCTGAATCTAGAGTCCCCAGCTCCATCTCTCCCCATCATCATCTCTGCCACCACCTCTGGTGCCATTGCTCCTCTGGATAGGGTCCCTCACTCTGCTCTTCTCCCTTGATGGTCCCAGGGACCTCCGCTCCTGGATTGCAAGATCAACTCCCTTCCTTTTGTTACAAAACATCTATCTTTACATTTGCAACATTCACAATCAGTCCTGATAGCAATTATCCACTATGAATCACAAGAGTCTTATCCCAATCTCCTTTCACCAGTCCCATCTAGACAGGTTGAAAACCACTCAGTGGAAATTCTACCTTCCCCTGCACCCTCTAAAACTAAGCTCTCTCTTGAAAACTTGTAATACAATCACCTCATGCCTTTATAGTTCCCCCCCTCCCCCCTTTTTGGGTAGTCAGTGTCTAAGTTGCCCATCCCTGTCAACCTTGTGTGCAGAGAGGGTGGGAATGATCCTTACTATAAAGATTCATCCCCTTTTTTAAAGCTACAACATTCATAAGTATAGGTCAAGTTCATCAAATTGTAGCGGATTACATTCTTTTCCCACTCTTCTTTCTTCCTCTAGTCGAGTTCTGATCATCCAACCATTGAAGCTAGATTAAATGGGTACTATATGCAAATATGGGCATTCTTGGGCTTCTCCCCTCACTTCATATCAGCTGGACACGTCACTCTCCGCTCTAGTCCTCCCCACATGGCCTTTTAAAGGAATCTATTCTGTCCACAGGAAATTTCAAAGATCAGCTCGAGAAGATAAAACCAAATATTATAATAAAATGTGCAAAGATCTGGAATCAGAAAACCAAAAAAGAAGAACACGCTCAGCATTTCTCATGCTGGGAGAACTGAAGAAAACAATTCAAGCCTCAACTTTCATTATTGAAAGATTATCTGGGCAAATTATTGAACAATGCAGAAAGCATCAAGAGAAGATGGAAGGAATACACAGAGTCATTGTACCAAAAGGAAATGGTTAATGTTCAACCATTTCAAGAGGCAGCATATGATCAAGAGCCAATGATCGTGAAGGAGGAAGTCCAAGGTGCATTGAAAGAACTGGCAAAGAACAAGGCACCAGGAATTGATGGAATAAAAATTAAAATCTTTCAAGAAAGTGAGGCGGCACAGGAGGCACTCACTCATCTTTACCAAGAAATTTGGCAGAAAACTATCTGGATGACTGATTGGAAGAGATCTGTATTTGTGCCCATTCCAAAGAGAGGTGACCAAACAGAATGCGGAAATCACCGGACAATCTCTTTGATATCTCATGCAAGAAAGCTTTACTAAAGGTAATACAGAAACAGCTACAAGCATACATTGACAGAGAACTTCCAGAGCTCCAAGCAGGATTCAGAAGAGGCCATGCAACAAGGGATATCATTGCTGATGTCCGATGGATCTTGGCTGAAAGCAGAGAATATCAGAAAGATGTTTACATGTGCTTTATTGACTACTCAAAGGCTTTCAATTGTGTGGATCATGATAAGCTATGGACAACATTGCAAAGTATGAGTATTCCGGAACACTTAATTGCGCTCATGAGGAATCTGTACCTGGACCAAGAGGCAGTTGTTTGAACAAAACATAGGAACACTGAATGGTTTAAAATTAAGAAAGGTGTGCGATAAGGTTGTATTCTTTCACCATACATATTCAACCTGTATGCTGAGCAAATAATCCAAGAAGCTGCATTATATGAAGAAAAACGTGGCATCAGGATTGGAGGAAGACTCAGTAACAACCTACGATATGCAGATGATACAACCTTGCTTGCTGAAAATGGAAAGGATTTAAAACATTTACTGATGAAGATGAAAGAGCACAGCCTTGGGTATGGATTACATCTCAATGTAAAGAAAACAAAAATCCTCACCACTGGACCAATAACCAACATTCTTACCAACTGAGAAAAAATTGAAGTTGTCAAGGACTTCATTCTTGAATCAACTATCAACACTCACAGAAGCAGCAGCCAAGAAATCAAATGACATATTGCATTAGGCAAATCTACTGCACAACTTTTTTAAAGTGTTGAAGAGCAAAGACGTCAGCTTGAGGACTAAAGTGTGCCCGACTCAAGCCATAGTATTTTCAATAACCTCATATGCATGCGAAAGCTGAACAGTGAATAAGGAAAACCATAAAATAATTGATGCCTTTGAGTTATGGTGTTGGGGGAGAATATTGAAAGTGCCATGGGCTGCCAAAAGAGCCAGTTGATCCATTTTGGAAGAAGTACAGCCACAGTGTTCCTTGGAGGCCAGGATGGCCAAGCTTCGTCTCTCATACTTCGGACATATTGTCAGAAGGGACCAGTCACTGGAGAAGGATATCATGTTTGGTAAGGTGGAGGATCAGAGAAAACGAGGAAGACCCCCAACGTGATGGATTGGCAAATGTCAGCATCAATGGACTCAAGTGTGGCAACAGTAGTGAGGTTGGCCCAGGATCGGACATTGTTTTGTTCTGCTGTGCATAGGGTTGCTATGAGTTGGTACTGACTTGATGGCACCTAACAACAACAACAACAATTCTGCCCACAGTCTCTGCTGCCTATGTTGCCATATTGTGTATTATGTGTTTGGATGAGTTGCCACCAGTCTCAAAGACACTCCACATCCTGGGCAAGGCTCTGGCATACAGCCCACTGAACAGCTGGGTCAAGCGGAGTTTACTGTCAGAAATTTGGAATTTGAAAATCAAGTGGCTGGGCCAGCAGGCTGGCTGATGGGTTAAAAGTCTCATCAGGATGAGGTGAGTCAGGACATGTCATAAGCCATTTGCTAAGTGAAATTACAAAGAACATCTCCCTCCAATTCAAATAAGAAGAGGAGAAGGCAGCAAGTGGACACAGAATGAGGTGGATGAGTAGAGAGACCTGGAAGTAAAGCCAAATTCCCAAAGCTACCCCTGGCGCCCCCCCCCCCCCTTTTTTTTTCCCTTTGCGCTAACTTTAATGTGTCTCTTGGTATCTCATCAAACCTGACTGGAAGATCAGTAGCATTCAGCCAGAAAAGAACCTAGCAGGTTTAAATGCATAATCAATGCCGGTGCCAAGAGATGATGTAGGAGAGGTGTTCCAGAGATTGTATCAGCTCAATGATGTGGCCATAATCCAAAGACCAGCATGACCCTGCATGAGTGGATTCTACAACTTGCCTCCCTGAGAATAATCAGGAAGCATCTTAGATACATTTCTAGGCTATGGAGGGGAGCAGATCCCAAGAGGACTGTGTCGGTGGTGTACCCAGGCCCTTGATCCTGTCACGTTTAACTGAGGACTTGAATATTGACAACATGCAGAGGTCAAGAACAAGTGGAGACTGTTGTAAAAAGTTAAGAAAAGAATTTCTTGTTTAAATGAAACACTCTCTATGATGGTTACCAGGGGCCGAGAGGTTGGGGAAAGGGAATTATTCACGGGGTAGAGGGTAGACACATATTAACATGGGTGAGAGGACAGGCAATATACAACAAGAGGGAGGTTGGCAGAGGAAAGATGAAGGTAGCAGGAGACACAAGGAGGAATGCAAGAGTTAAAGAAAACTGAGGTAAATGGTAGCATAGTGGTTACAAGTCAAGTCGGGCTGCTAACCTCAAGGTCAGCAGTTAGAAACTACCAGCTGTTCTGTGGGAGAAAGATGAGGCATTCTGCTCCCATAAAGATTTACAACCTTGGAAACCCAATAAAGGGTCGCTATGAGTCGGAACCAACTTCACAGCATATAACCACCACCACCACTGTTAACTATTGTTGATACATGGAGGGGATTGTAATCATTGTAATGAAGTAAAGTATATGATTTGCTGAATGTACAACTGATGATCTGCTCTGTAAATGTTCACTCGATTCACAATAAATTAAAAAACTATATATAGAATCATGTAAAGAAATCAAGCAAAATATCCTAATGATCTTTACTGTTGTGGTGGTGGTGGTAGTGATGATCTTTATTAGGGTACACAATTCATTCAACCAATAAATCTTGAACCCTTAACTGAGTTTCAGTCATTGGGCTAAGCCAGAAGCTATGAAGGGGAAGAACAGATAAAACCCCTGCTTTCCTTCACTGAACAAAATTTAGAGAAGAATGCAGACAAGTAAACAGCAACTACTACTTGATGGAGTTATAACAGCAGAAATGCAGGAAAAAGATGTCAAAGAAGACTTTGCTGTAGAATAAGCTCTGGACTGCTAACTTCTAGGTCAACAGTTCAAACCCATGAGCAATACCTCAAAAACCCTATACAGGGTCATTGCAAGTTGGAACAGACTCCACATCACTTAACAGCAACATTGAGTCCAGAGAGTGAGTGGGAATAGATAGACAAATAAACGGGGGAATGGAAAGGCTAGTTATTCCAAGCATAGGAAAGGAAGCCACAGTTGGTTTATAAAACAACTTCATCTTACAAGGAAAGAGACCTTTAGTGTTAATCCTTATCTACTTTTCCCTTAGATAAGTCTGCAGTTAACCCCCACTCTGAGGGCTATAGCAGGAATGAAGTTTCTGAAATTCCTGGAATCTTTCACATGCCCCCAATCCTATAAATCCTTCTTCCCTTTTAACCTCCTTCCCCAATCCTATCAATCCACATGTTTGGAAGACATGTGGTCCCTCTGCCTCCTGATGTACATTAAACCTTGCACCACCACACAAACACCCAAGTGGAGAATCACACATAGGCTTTGTTTGGTTTTTCAAGTCTTAAAATACTGAATTAGCTACCAATGTGTAAACATGGGGAGACTGACATCGAAATGTGGAGTTTTTCTTTCTTCTGGAAAACATGGAAGAGTTGGGCCCGTGTGTCTCTGTGGTAGTTATCTTGAGGGAAGTGCTGTGGCCAGCAGGTTCTGTGTCCAGTGCTACTTGTCATTGTCCTCCTGACCTGCTTCATTCACTTGTGTGACTTTCCTGAAGACATTTGGATTTGTAGTTTCTGTTTCATGGGTTTATTTCTGTAGTCAAGTTTCTCTGTAGAATTTTCTAGACATCTAGAACCCATAGATCTGTTTCAGCCCACCGTCATTTAGAAGTAAGTAAACATTTAGAATAAAGTCACAGAAAGCAACATCATTTTCCTGTTTTGTCTTTTGGCCTGTTGTGGTTTTCATTGTTGTCAGCTCCTTGGGCAAAAAAACCAGTAATTCTTTATTCCGTGCTACTGTCTGAGTCCTAGAGTCCCTGTACATTGGTGTCTGGCTCCCTTTGCTTTCTTTCTTTCTTTTTATTTAATGTTTTTATTTTGGATTGAGTGAAAGTTTACAGGGCACATCATCAGCTTCACATTCAACCATTCATATAGCTTGTTTCATTACATTGAT